CTCTAGCTCCACCTGGTACAGTCTGACATGTGTGTGCTCTCTAGCTCCACCTGGTACAGTCTGACATGTGTGTGCTCTCTAGCTCCACCTGGTACAGTCTGACATGTGTGTGCTCTCTAGCTCCACCTGGTACACTGGAACACTAAGTACCCCAGTTTTGCAGAAGCAGTGAAGCAGCCGGACGGCCTGGCAGTGGTGGGAGTGTTCCTCAAGGTGAGAACCATGTGTCCTACATGTGTCGTAGCTAAGCTATTGTAGCTAAGCTGATGTAGCTAAGCTAATGTAGCTAAGCTAATGTAGCTTGTGCTGATGTAGCTAAGCTAATGTAGCTATGCTGATGTAGCTAAGCTAACGTAGCTAAGCTGATGTAGCTAAACTGATGTAGCTAAACTGATGTAGCTAAACTGATGTAGCTATGCTAATGTAGCTATGCTAATATAGCTATGCTAATGTAGCTTTGCTAATGTAGCTAAGCTAATGTAGCTAAACTAATGTAGCTAAACTAATGTAGCTAAGCTAATGTAGCCAAGCTAATGTAAACTCTGGTGTGCTCAGATCGGTGCAGCGAACCCAAACCTGCAGAGACTCTTGGACAGTTTTGGATCCATCAAGAACAAGGTAAAGTCTGACTCAAAACTCCTGATGTAGGTCTCACAGAACACTCTGGAATAGGCCACAGCAGAGGTCAGAGGTCACACAGAACACTCTGGAATAGGCCACAGCAGAGGTCAGAGGTCACACAGAACACTCTGAAATAGGCCACAGCAGAGGTCAGAGGTCACACAGAACACTCTGGAATAGGCCACAGCAGAGGTCAGAGGTCACACAGAACACTCTGAAATAGGCCACAGCAGAGGTCAGAGGTCACACAGAACACTCTGAAATAGGCCACAGCAGAGGTCAGAGGTCACACAGAACACTCTGGAATAGGCCACAGCAGAGGTCAGAGGTCACACCGAACACTCTGAAATAGGCCACAGCAGAGGTCAGAGGTCACACAGAACACTCTGGAATAGGCCACAGCAGAGGTCAGAGGCAGGGCTGGACTGGGACAAAAAAACGGCCCGGGCATTTTTTCCTTCTTACCGGCCCAGGCATGTTTTGGTCACGTTTTTTACAGTTTGTTTATACCAGGGATCGGCAACTCAAAAGGTTCAAAGAGCCATATTTGACAAAAAAAACTAAAAACATCTGTCTGGAGCCGCAAAAAAATAACAGCCTTGTATAAAGCTTATATGAAGGTTACACAATGTAGCTACATTAGCTACATTAGCCTAATATCTAAATGACCAAGTAAAGGCTACAAATACATAATAAGCATTCATGATTGTCAAATGTGTGTTTTCACTGCAGCGTGTCCTGGAGAGAATGACGCACCACGTGACAACTCTGCTTTAACTTTGACTTCCATTTTTTTGCCTTCATGCAACTGTAGAAATACAGTAAATAAATCTGCTTTTTGGCTCAAGGTCACACACCTGCACTGTCCGCTCATATCGATCACGTCACAGGCTGAAGTTTGCTGGAGCTGAATGTCCTTTTCTTTCACAGTCTTTGCGGAGGTTTTTGAAGTCTGAAAAAGGTGCTCCGGATTTTGTATGAAAGAATCCTTCACGTAATCCCTGTGAACGGTGTTTAGTGCTTCATTGTTCCTCGTGTTGCAACAAAACTTCCTATTACATCGCAAACATGAAGCAGTCCTTCCTCACTGACTGAAAGCAAATGTTCATTCTCATTCTCAGTCCAGTCTTATCGACTCTCTCTCTTTATCTCTGGGATCCATGCGCACACACAGTCTATAATGCACACGCCGCCTGGCACTTTAGGAGCACTAAAGGTTGCCGACCCCTGGTTTATACAGTATGTGGAAGCAAATACTGTAGAGGATCAGGATGTCTGTGGTTTCAACAATAAAATAAAGTGCAATAGTCTACATTAAACAGAGTAATAAACATGTCTCAGAGTGAGGGAGGTGGGCACAGACATGAGAATTGGTCAAAAAGTCTGAAATGCATAATGTCAGCCATTAGCTGGCTCTAAATCTGTTTGATTTTTTCACAACATTTTACTTTTGGGCTCAAACATGAACTTTTAATGCAATGGAAAATTTAGGCACCCGAGCTTTAATTTAGTCGCACTTTGAGAGGAAAGGGGAGACGCGGACTGTTTCCTGCAGCGGTGTATTTATTGGGTGCACAAATTATGCAAAGACACGCATGGTCCTGTGCACGTTTATGGTCTTGGGTACATGGTCACGTTGCGGCTACGCGCTCACCGTGTTGTGTTGTGAGCGGTTCCCGCGTCCAGCTCAGAGCCGCTGGATGCGGGAACACTGCGGCCGCTGAGGTGGTGGAATCCCGTTCCAGTACATACAGCAGGAGCCCCGCGGACACGCGCTCTCCCCTCGAACAGTTCTCAACGGATTTACACTTTTCACAAACATGTGTTTTGTATGAGGCAAACAGACCGGCCCAAATATGGGCATCGGCCCTTCTGGCAT